GTCCACACTGGTTTATCACAGTTGTTAGCTTTGCCTCCCTTTAGAGTTGTTAGCATGCGAATACAGCCCTGAAGCCATTTGAATGACAGCTCTGCTGAAATTGGTTTAAGATCCTCCAGAACTGTGACTATTTGGGTGTCTTAGTTACTCTTCTCTCATTGCTGGGACAAATACCCGACACTCAAAATGAAGGAAGGAAAGGTTTATTTAGCTCACAGTTACTGGAGGTTTCAGTCCATTCTCAGCTGGGTCCAATGCAGAGCAGCACAGAGCACAAAGCAACCTTTCATGGTGGTGGCAAAGAACAAGAGCGCAAGGGAGGGGTAGCAGCAGCTCAAGCAGCTAGCTTCTCTTCCCACCTTACATTGTAATGCAAATTACCTGCCCCAGGGTAGGGGAAGTACTCACACCTATGGGTACTTCCCAGTACTTACCAACCTATGGGTAATCCCAGCAGTACTAAGATTTATATTCCCAAGCTTGGATCACACATAATCCCAGTGGATCATGAGTTAACACACTTTAGAAGTCCTCACCCCATGACTGCATGAGGCTTTGGGGGGACAACTAGACATAAACCATAACATTGGGGAAGGTACAAAAGTTCCAGTGTTCTGGGTTTTTTGTTTGGTTTTGTTGGGATTGAACCCAGGACCTTGCGCCTTCCAGGATGAGAAGGTCCACCCTGGGTGGGTGTTAGGGCACCACTCCAAAGGCTTAGCCTGGATGGGACAACAGCGAAAGGGAGGTGTGCTGTCACGCTGCGTTGCTGCCTTCTGCCCGCCCTCTGCGATGCCCCAGCACCGTGCTGCCCCACCCTGGAGCCACCTGCTGGTGGGCTGAAGGGCTCCAAAGGAATGCCCAATTTCTCTTTGAGAGAAAGTTTAATTTGTTGGCATCTAATTGGAAAGTTTTGTTTGTTTGCATCTAATGCAGTTGATAAGGCAGGATTTATGTCTGCTGGTTATTTTCTCTACATAATACATCGTTTTTATTCTCTTCTTCCATTACTGCTTTCTTTTCTATTAAATAGATATCTTCTAGTGAACCATTTTAGTTCTTTTATGTTACTTACAGTATATTTTTACCTGTTTTCTTAGTGATTGCTCTGAGGACTGCCATTAATATCTCAATTTACTAGCAATCTGTTTGAATTAATAGCAACTTATTTTTAATAATACACAAAAATGTGGCTCCCCCGTGACTTCATTATCCCTTCCTTATGTTGTTTTTGTCACAAATTACATCTTCACACATTTCAAGCCTATCACCATAGAATTGTAATTATTAGTTTATGTGGTTATTTTTTAACAATAGAGAACAAGGACTTTTAACAAAAAATACACTGTAGTTTATGCTTAACTATACAATTGCGCTTGCCAGTGCTCTTCATATCTGTATGTCGACTTAGATCCTCGCCGTGTGGCTTTCATCTCAGCCTGAAGGACGAGCTTCCTCCAGTGTTTCTCACAGGCTGTCAGCCACTTTTGCTTAACACGGAGACACAATAGCCAATAACCCACAAGTTAAAGGAAATTGTTTCAGCTCAGTTTACTGTGGGTTAAGTCTACCATCTCTGACAAAACAAAACAAAAAAGGGGGATATAAAGGAAGGACCATTTTGTTGTGAAAAAAAAATATATATAGATATATATATATCTGTATACACAAAATAGCATAGATATGCAGCTACTTTTTCTTAGTTCAATGAGAATTTTTGACCTAATAGTTTTTATTTATTTATTTATTTATTGATGGATCATGCCAGGCTTTGTATTGCAGTGATTACAGAATAGCAGGAATTTTTTCCTTGTTGACCTATTAGTTTTTAGACAAGATATCATGTCTGCATCTTGTACTATGAACAATTACTACAAAGACAATATTATGCACTATATTAATTATTGTAACTGTCCTACTAACCTATTTTGATACTGCCTCGTTGCTATTTCTTTCTTATTAAAATAAAAAAATAAAAGACAAATTGGAAGAACTGGTTTCAAAAAGTGATCTAATATATGCTGTCAAGAAAAGACTCAGTTTAGAGTCAAGACACAAATAGGTTGGAAATAAAAGTGTAAAGGCCACTATGCAAACAGAAACAAAAAGTGGCTATGGTAGTGTAAGACAAAATGGACTTTATTCATTTTTTATGTATTTAGTACAGGGTCTACAGGGTGTCACTACACAGACTGGATTCGGAGTGATCCTCCTGTTTTTAGTCTCTCAAGCACTGGGATTATAGGCACATGTCACCACACCTGGTCTCAATAGCCATGTCAGTGTGCACTGGGGACAGGGCTGGCACTGCATGCAGGGGATCAAACTCAGGACCCTGTACTTGCCAGGCAGGCACTTATGCTGTTGAGCTATCTCTACAGCCCCTGGTTCCAGCATTTTTGATGAAGCACATAAGCATACCCTGGAGTAGACCCAGGAGGAGAGGAGGGAGCCCAAGACTGGGTGCACACTTAAGAACAGGGAAGAGTAGAGGACAAAGAAGAAGAATTGGGGTGCCTCAGGGAACTGAAGACCATAACGAGACTGCAGGGAAACCTACACAATGTGAGCTGAGCCCGGGCATTGGTTTGGTACTGGAGCTCTTGAATTGGCAACATTGGACCAAAGGCAGCAGCAAGCCCTGAAAAGAGCATAAGAAGCCACCCTGGGGGAGCAGGGGCAATGAGTGGTTGTGAGTGAGAGCATCTGCCACTCACAGGCAAATGGCCAGGGCCAGCATTGGGGCTGACCTGCGCCCCAGACACAGTATGGAATGGATCAGCGTCGAAGTCAAGCAACAGGTCGTACCAGGATAGGGGCACTGACAGGAGAGCCAGGAACAAAGGGCACGAGGCCAAGTGGTGAGGAAAGATCTGAACTGATAACCTTGCAAATGGACCAGGCAGAGAGATACTCTAGAGAGGTGGTGTCTGTGAATGGGCTCAGTTCAAGCAGATGTTTGCTAAATCTTAGCTGGTTCCTGGTCTAAAACTAAAGTAACTTGGTGCTGATCAAAACACAGGCCCTGCTTATCAGCACCTAGGAGGTTCTGGGTACTTTACATCCATTATTTCCTTTAACACTTGGGCTATCCCAGGGGAGGTAGATGTTGCTACCCAGTATACAGGTAAGTGGACAGCTTGGTCAGGTGACTGGCTTGAGTTCACCATAGCAAAGCGGAACCAGAAGGTTATTCTGGGCATCCTGACAGGCCAGGGGCCAGAGTTGCTCTGATCAGCCTAGTACCTTAAAGCTCCCTAGTAGCTAAGGGAGGGGACAAGGAATTTCTCAGAGTCGCCCTGAAGACCCTGTTCTCCACTCTTGTACAGTGAGGCTGCAGAAGGAGGCAGAAGAGTCTTCCTCGGAGGCCTCACCTGAGGACGCTCCCTGTAGTCTCCAGGATTCATGGCAGTCTCGCTCCCTCTTTCTGTACCAGGCCTCTAAGTAGTGGTAGTATTTACCCTCCATGCCAGGGAGCAGGCAGGGTTGTCTCACTCACTTGCAAATTCCTGAAGGCAAGCTATAAATGGGAAAAATGCAACCCAAGGCTGGGACAAGGTATGGGGACAAAGATGTCTGATGATTCAGTGAGCCCCAAGTGGAGTCTGCTCACCCATAACCTCAGTTCCATCTCTGTGTTTGTTCAGAAGCAGAGGAATTGAACTGTTCCATGACCACCCTACTTTCACTGTGTCCTACACACACACACACACACACACACACACACACACCCCATAGCCCTTGATGAGGCCATCACCACTGCCCTTAGGATAGGAGTTTCTTTAAAATTCTTGCCAAATTTGTACAGAGACCTAGGTTCAGTCAATGAAGAAAAACAAATACACCATTGTCAGTATTTGAGCAGCAAGCTCCCAAGCACAGAACAGCCTACCTGCACCGTGCTGGGAGGGGGTACCTGCAGATCTTTGGACACCACACCTCATGGACTCATGGGCTTCTGGTCCCTGCAAGTGTGGATTAGAGGGGGTGAGGGAGGGAAGGAGAGAGAGAGAGAGAGAGAGAGAGAGAGA